CCTCTGTCCTTCCTTGCACTTCTCTCCTCATCACCCGTGGGAGAGGCGGGGGCTTTCCCTCCCCCTGACAGATGTAGTGTACAAAAGAGCTTCCTATTGATCAGGGCTGTGCCCAGCAAAGGAATAGATACACTGACCTCCACTGGATGCCCTAAGGAGAATCTGTCATGTGCCTTCTATTCTCCCATATTGGGGTGGGAAAACCCATCTGAGGGTGGGAGGGGCAGCAGAAGGGGCCTGTAGAATGCCCTTTCCTGATCTCTCACACAAGGATGAGGTGCTGAGGGGGAGGTGGACTCACCTGGTAGCCCCTGTTCTCAGCTACCAGCATTCTGGGGGACCTTGGGCAAGTCACCACCTGTCCCCGGACCTTGCTGCCCTCACCGTGTAAGTGAGAATGTCAGACCAGATGATCTCGAAGCCCATTCTAGATCTGACTTCTAGATTAAACAGAGGGCTCAGAGTTGGAAGAGGCCAAGGAGGAGAAGGAGAGAAGCCTCTCAGAGACATTCTTCTCCCTCAGCTTCTCAGGCTGTTGGGGGAAGCACCCCAGGTGGTGCTTACCCCAGGCAAGAAGGAGGGCGTAAGCTGGGGGACACTCTCACTGGTCCACAGAGGACAGACATCTGTGCCTCCTGCCCTGGCTGGCCAGGTGCACTGCTGCCAGCCTGACTGCAGTCTGGCCACCTGCCCTGCCCTCACCTCATCCGCTCCACAGCTGCATTTCTCCATCAGAGTACACATTCTGGAATCCCCCTTGCTGGGCCTGGTGATCAGGCCTCCCACTGACTGCACCCCCCCCCAACTAGTGGCTTCTGATGAGAACGGGGCAGGGGGGGGCTGCCCCCCCCCCCCAGGAAATGTCACAGTGCCAGGACTCTGGTGGGCTCAGGGCATGCGCTGGCCCAGATCAGGCCAGCCTCTTTCTGCCCCTGCCCTTTTCTGCTCACAGCCCCATTGTCTCCCTCCAGGGGAAGCTGCCAAGGCGGGAGGCCTGGAGGGGAGAATGGACGGCCACCCCACCCCCATCTGCACCCCACCCTGGAGCTTTGCTGGGGCCAGCAACAGGACTGCCCACATAGGGTCAGGAACCCCAGATAAAGACAGGATGGAAAAGGGTAGACAGGTCCAGGCTGGGGAGGGGGTAGCAGCTGGAAAATCTGGGTGTCACAAAGAAGCCTGGGTCCTTTCCCTGTCTCCCTGTGGGGCCAGAGATGAGGCTGTCGTAGGCCTCTGGTTCCTGTTTCCTTTTCATGAGTGAAGGCAGGGGGGTGGGGGAAGGGGGTGAGACTGGGTGGTGTTTTCCTAGTGGAACAAGGGGAGGGTTAGTTTCTTTCATAGAAAATATAAAACAGAAAGAGGAAAGAGGAAGAGAGAAGAAGGGAGATTGATTTGGCCATTCTATGAGAGTGAGCTATTTTCTACATCCACTGATTGAAGGTATAAATAAAGATGGGTCAGATGTTGTAAAGAACTTCCTGGGGGCGGGCAAGAGGGGAAAAAGGAGCAGAGTGGAAGGGCGGGGGACTGGTGACCAGGAAGCTGTAGTCTCTCCCTCTCTGCCTCACTCTCAAGACAGGATCTGTCAGGGCCAGAGCATAGGCTGGATGGCCTGGAGACAGTGGGGTGGACGAAGTGACCTCAGGAGAGCCTGACCACTGTCCCGGAATCTGGGATTCTGCAATTCACAAAGATATGATTACAGATGGGAAAGAGACAGAGAGCTAGAGGCAGAGTTTAGAAAGTGTGCATTGCATTGGGAGAAGGAGGTGGGCAGGAAAGAAGGAGGAAACGGAACTTCTCAAGAACCTGGAGCCAGGTCTCTGAGCCAATTCCAGAGCCTGCAGGGCCACCCTCCTGCAGGAACCACCCCCCCCTCCCCTTCCTGATCAGGACAGCAGAGGTCCTGGGGTCCTCCTCTCTGCTTCTAGTCTGGTTGCTGCTAGAATGTCAGAGTGGGTTGCAGGAGTCTGCTGCAGTTCTAGCTGTTTTCCTGACCATCAAGCGAGCTCTGACCTGGCCCAGATTCTCTGAGCAGAAGAAGGCCAGTAGAAGCAGGTCTTAGATATCAGGAAACAGTTCGAAAGCTCCTCGCTGAGGTGAGACTTGGGGGGTGAGAAGGAGTGGAGGAGCCTCAGACCACGCTGGTTCAGCCCATCAGCCCAAACCTGATCTTGGAGGGCAGTGGCGGGGTGGGGTGGGGACAGGAGTCTGGGAACGGGAGTCTGGGCTCAGACCAAAGAGATGCAGTGTCTGAAATAGACAGAGGAGCGCGAAGAGGCCAAGACAGGCAGGAGAGGCACATGTGAGCGAGGCAGTCAGGGACCTTATCACCGGAGCCCCTCACTCTTCACTCAGCTCGCCCTGCAGCTGCAGCCATGAAGGCCTCTGTGTTCTCCCACACCTGCCCTCCTCACCTCCTCCCCCACTCCCTGCTTCCCTGCTTCAGGGTCAGTCTCCAAGGGACCAGGCTTCTCTCCTTTTGGTTTGGCTGCCACCCAGCAGTCTCTTTTGAACAAAGAAACCCCCACAGACACAAACTTCAGACAGGTGAATCAACCAGTCCAACAACACTCCACAAACCTATCTCCAGCACCTACACTGTCCTGGGCCTCAGGGGTCCTAAAGACAAAAGCTCTGCCTTCCAGGAGCAGGGAAGAGAGACCCAAAAGGAGATGGTTGTGGGTAAAATGCAGTAACTAGCAGAGTTACCCAATGTATGGAGCACGGTGGGAGCACAGAGAAGACAATACAAGGAGGACAAAGGGACAACTTCCAGGAGAAAGTGGTATTTTAACTGTAAGGATAAGAACAATTTAGATGGATGGAGAGGGAAAAGAGGGAATGCAATGGCCATTAGAAAAAGACCCTGTCTCCACACCTTGAAAAAGGGCAAATTAGGAAAGGTGTGTACGGAGAAAAAGAGAGAAATCCCTTTACAAAGTTTTCTTGGGACCCTAGATTTTAAATTTAAATGAATCCCCTTTTCCATTCCTGAGAACCCTAGCCGGGAGAAGGTGGGTTGTGAAGAGGGCACTACATTTACTGAGTTGCTCCTAATGTCAGATCATTTTGTAGGTCGTCCCACCTAAGTGTCCCAAGCAAACCTGCCAGGTAGGGAGACTGTTATCTCCATTTTACAATCGAGACTGAGAGGCAGGGAGGGGAAGTGACTAGTCCAAGGTCACAGCCTTAATGGTTAGATTCCAGGTCTATTTCAAAGCTGCTCCTGCATTACACGAAGCCAGGATCAAAGGAACCTGTGTTGTCCTCGATTTACCCCCTCACTGACACCCGCGAAGGACCTCTCTGCATCACGGAAGAGGGACGGTGTCCCGCCGCTCCCTGTGTGGGCATCCTACGCCCTCCAAACCCGGGGAGTGGGAGAGGAGTGGCGAGTAGAGGCCCAGCCAATCGAGGGGCGATATGCAAATAGCCGAGATCCTGCCTTCTTAGGATTGGTTGATCCGTCAGCGCTATTGTCCAAGTCCCTCCTCCCTAAACACTAAGCAGCTATTCCGGTCGTGTGTTTGCGGTTCTGGAGACCAAGAAGGAAAAAAAGGTCTTCGGGATCTGGATCTCTGAGCCGTCCCAGTCGGGCACCCACCTTTCGTGCCCCTGCCCCACCCCCAAGGCTGAGAGCCCCCGCAACCCTCGCTCCCGAAACCCTCGCTGCCTAAGTGTCTGCCTAGGGCCGAGTCTGGAGACCGGGCCTGGGAGGACGCCCCCCTCCTTGGCGGGCCAGGCACCTCTCCATTCCTCCTGGACCCTCCCCGGTTCCCGTATCTCCCGGGCTGCACGTTTTTTTCATTCACGACCTCCACGTCTGGAAGGGCCAGGCACCTGGGTCCCTGTCCTTGCTCGGGGAGGAGGGGGAGGTCGAGAAAGCCGGAGTCCTGACTCCGTTTCCCTCCGCAATCCCTTTCTCGCCACTCCGGCCCACTCCGAAGGAGAACGCAGAGAAACTGGAGGGTTGTCAGGCAAAGCGGGGCGGGGAAGGCGCAGCTGTCTGACCTTCTCGTGTGGCTTCCCACCTTGTTCCTCCCTTTCCCCCCAGTCCAGCCCCCGACCCTGGATCCACGGCCCTCCTCACACGTTCTTTTCTGCGGATATCTGGCTCCCGGGAGCGCGTTCCTAGCCGCACGCCTCTTCCTCGGAGACCGCGACCGAGCGCACAGCCCGGCGGGGGGCTGGACACGGGAGGAGGAGGCACAGCAGAAGGTGCCCGGGGG